CTGCCCGTTGCCTCTTGTCCTGTTGCTGGGCACCACAGAGAAGAGGCTGGCCCCGTCCTCTTGACACTCCCCCTTCAGATACTTCTACACGTTGATGAGATCCCCTCTCAGTCTTCTCTTCTCCAGACTTTAATCTCCCCACGGTCTCTCTAGATTTAATTCCTCTCTCCAGAGCTTAGGTGATACTCTGAAGTGTCCAAGAGAGCCATCTGGCCTTTCTGCTCTGGCAACGGGGTGGTGAAGGGACTGGAGATGGTAGCCCCTGTTCTTGGGCGGTGCCATATCTCCATCTTCTCAATGAAGTCCCAGAGTCTCCATGCCTACTGAGAGAGTGGCTACCTGCGGATGCTAGGGGGTCACAAATGAAGGAGGGGTGGAGGGTTGTGATGAGGCACAAACTCTGAGGAAGCAGAAAGTCTACTGAGGTCGTTGTACTGATGTCCTGGATGAGACGATTTCAGCTTCCAGTCAGATCAAATTCTCTGATGAGAAATGAGGGGAGAAAGAGTCCTCACAGCCTGAAGACTCTGTTTCACTCCTGGTCTGGATGGTCAAGATATTGCATCACTGATGAGACTACAGCATTTTTTTTTGTGTTAGCAACACTGAAGATTCAAATATATCAGCAATCCTAGTTGAGAGACAGAATAAGAAAATCTTTTCTATTGCTAAATGATGAAGGGTCAAAACTATTAAGTACTGGAGTTTCTTTTTTAAACTATTTAAAGCTTCCTTTACTTTGCACATTTATGATTTATTAAGGAGAGATGGCCATGGACAAAACCTGCCTTACATCATCCTTAACCTTTGGCCCCCAGGTCTTAACTTCAGGGGTGCTACTCTGAGTTCATACCTACACCTATATTTGACTTAGTGTATAAACCAAATGTGCTCTAAGGGTCAAACTCATCCATAGCATAAGCCAGAGCAGTTCTCTTTGAAGCTAATGCAAGTTCTGTTATACCTAGAGAGAACTAAGTCTTAAAAGGCTTGAAGTTTGATTCTCTCATTCCATGTTTTTCGTGTGACTGGCTAGAGCTGACTGGATTCAAATAGCTATTGGGACAGCTCAACAACTGGGAAACAAAAGAGTTAAAGATAAGTTTTTGATTATTTTGTCAGGTATCAACTGAAGGCTCCCTACCCAATTTTCACTGCAATGTGACAATGAGAGATTCTCCTGAGGCGGTACTGAGGCAGGAGTAGATCTATGTTTCAAAGTAAAATCTGAGATCCGTTTTGCTTGTTAAATTTGCAGCATTTTAATCCATTGATTTAAATGTCAATTCTATAGGCATTAACTCTTTTACAACATGCAAGTCCTGTTTATATTTATTGATGCAATGTCCCTGGGAGCAGGAAAGCAACAAAAGGGCAACCTTCAGTTTCAATTTAATGCAACTCAGAAATGAAGTAATCTACTGTCTCTCTTGTTGCTTCAGAGTAGTGACACGTATCACTAATATATTGCATGCACACGCAGAAATAACACAAGAGATGCTCTTGCTTGCGTTATTACTCACTTCCTACTTCTAACTTAAGAATGTGTTAGTAAGAGCATTATACAAACTGTTGATACAGTGTTAACAAGAAGAACTATAGTACAATACATCGTAGGAGTATGGAGTGGTACAGTTTTCCTGTGTGGGCTGGAGAAAGTATTTTTTTAATATTCTGATTACACAGACTATGATTAGCTTAGTTGTCGCCAGTTACAGGTGTTCTAACGCCCACTTTCTCCCGATATATGGTTTCTGTCATGAGCGGCATCATCATCTAATCATTACAGCAGTGGACAAAGAGTCAGAATTCCTGGCTCCTGGGAGCAGTTTGGGTGATTTACTGTTGTGTGTCCTGGGTCAGACAGAGGTCAGTCTCTTTATGCCTCCATCTTTCCATCTATGAGTAGAAATAATCTGGAGGCTGACGTATTTATGCTTAGAACTCTTTCTTACTCTCTCAGATACAGTAAAAGAACAAGTAAAAATAAGCATTCTGTCCCACATGAAATTCTGATATTTGAAGATTTGTTTTTATCAGGAATTGGGCCAAACATGAAAATGTTTTTCTTTGTGTGGAACAAAAAGTTCCAATAAATGGTGGTTAGGGAATGAAGACTTCAGACATTTCTGTAGTCCCAAAGTGAATTGGCTGCGTTTTGTATGCTGAACGAAAGGAAATATTTTGACTTGAATTCAGTTTGACTTGTGTCTGTGTTGCCCGAGTTGTTTGTGGAAGTCATCATTTGGGATGTCATGCCACTGGCTTTCTCAGAATTTCCCAGGTGATGCAAGTCCCGGGGTGTACTGTGTTAGTTGCCCTACCTTGTGGCCATTCAGCCTCACTGGGAGATCTTAAATAGTCAGGAAGGATGAAAAAAGGAGCACAAGGCAGCTGTACTGCAGTTCACATAATGCACTGCAGTGGTGGAAGCTCATGCCAATGAACAATGAACTGCCTTGGAACAAAATACTCCAGTTTGGCTCAACAACCTCAAGTTTTTTGGTGAGAAGGAGCAAAGGCCAGTGCTTGTGACATTCAAAAGCTGGAGCAATCCCTTTGTCCCCCATATTCATGTAAACACTAGCAATGTCAGGGTGGACTCCACAGAACATGTGGCAGAACAAATATAAGGACACAAAGTGTGGAACGACGGTGCTGCTGTGAGTCCAGAGACCATGATGAGGTGAAATGGTCATGCCTCCTGAGAGAAGGAATGGTTAACATAAAATCTCTGAAGTCTGGAGTTCTCTCACAGGCCCTGGTACAGACAGCTGTCCCCATCCTCCCAAGATGGAGCTGGTAATCAACTAGGAGATGTTTATATAGGTTCTAGTTAGAGTAAATTCGGTGAGGATTTATTCGGTCCCAATAATTCCTATGATGCCAAGCACAGAGACATTTCGTAAGTTTTCCGTAGAATAAACAGAACCTGCAGCAGCTAATCTTGGCCTCCTAGGAGATAAATGGCTGAAGAGAAAGTGAACCAGGATGTGTTTCATGAAGAAAATACCAGCGTATTTTCTTGCAGTACAGGGTTTAGCCTTGGGGTGGAACTTCCAGCCTTGGGGCTTGGAACTAGAGTGAATGGGATTTCATTGGGATGTATTCAAAAATGGGTTCTTAGTTCATGCCTCCTATGAGAGGAGGGTTGTAATTCTGCCTCCTGAGGCGCTCTGAGCTATGCGTGCGCCCGGCACTTGGCTGCTCAGGGTAGGCTGTTCTAAACCTCCTGTGCTCTCCCTGGATCTAAATGTCACAGCTTCCTCTGAAAGCCACTAGGATAGTTCAGGAATCCTCTCTCAAGGCAGCTGTAACTTCCTGGGAGAAAACAGCAAGCTCCGGTGAATAGCGCTGCATGATTAGAAAAGCCTCAGAAGGAGAGGGAAGGAGGAAGGACATCTGTGACTGTTTTTATTATAAAGCGATGTTAAAGCAAATGGTTGCATCCTGTGTTCGAATATTGTTGTACTGGATCAGAATAGAGACTGGGAACTTCCTACATTTTATCCCTGTCACCTTTGGGAGCATGAGCAAGTGACAGGAGCCAGAGGTGGGTTAATATACAGAGTTGTTAACACTGGAGACCAGTAATGCACAAATTACTAGCGCTTTGGGGGTCCGGATTTTCTAAAATCTCTTTGGTGATCAAGAAAAATTGTTGGTTTCTTTTTTTATTTTCATAGATAAGCCACATCCTGGATCATCCAGGGACCTGCTCTCTGGTGGATATACAGCATGATCTATGTATTTTTACCCCATTTCTGTACAGAACTCCCTAATATGTTGTTGTTCAAACCCAAATTAGGACATGGCAATTTCTAGGGCTTTTGGGAATGTGGCTGTTTCTTAGTGTTTTTTTTTTCCCCCTGGAGGCCTGGATATTCTTCCTCTTTTGTATTACTCTCTCTCACTTCCAGTGCAGAGTCTAAGCAAAGGTTGCTGCTGTGTGCTTTTGCTGGTTTTGTCTTTCTGTTAACCTGTGCTTTTAAATAATCATCAAGAGTGCCTCAGGCAAAGGATGGGCACCTTTCCCATATGGTTTTATAAGCATAAATAAATACTTATAGATTCTATAAAACAGCTGTGGGAGTTCCCCCTCTTCTCTGATAGATCTCTCTTCAAAGCCGTGGATAAAAAGAACATAGCTGATATTGAGCAGCAGGGACCATGGCTCTAAGAATTGGCACAGCAGAGCCACATGTGTACTTCTAAGTCTGCATAAGTAACCTTCCAAAATGCAGGTTGAGAGCCAGCAGGGAAAGAAAGTGCCTCCTGTCATTCATAGCAACTCTCTCTGAGGCATGGCAGTCGTGTGGTGGCTGAAGAAGGCCTGTCAGAGGCTCGCTGCTTTCAGAAATATGATAGAAATTCAAGTCTGCTTTCACTGAGACATTAGGAATGGCACTGCTGAGACTCAAGAGACCTAAATTAAAATTCCAGCTCTGACACAGACTTTTGGAGTGTATGAGCACATTACTCTGTGCCTCAGTTCCTACTGCTAAAAGAAGGATGATAATATTTCTTCTCTCTGACTTTGTCTTGTGTCAGAGTATCAGATCAAGGCCATTTCTCACTACACATGCACACTTGGACCCCAGCCTTCCTAAAGCAGTCAAGCTATAGAAAGAGAAGTAGAAATAGTAGTAAGCAGACAAGTAAGTGATTTCTAACACCTTGGAATTAATGTGAGATCTCCTAGTACTGATTTTATATACTAAAAAGGTAAGATTTATCTGTTTGTGAAGACAGATGAGTTTCTATTGAAAGCTATAAAACTTGCCTGAGAGACAAGCAAGTCTTATCAGGTTTGACTGTAGACAAGTGTTTTCTTATAAAATCAGTGAGGCAAGAGATACAGTTTTATAACTGTCTATGTGCTCAAAACAGCTCATCTACTGTTCTGTCCTTGAGGTTGGTGGGAGATTGGTAAGGGGTATAATCATAAGTTCCCAGACTTTATTACTGTTCTCCAGATTTTGTTCTTTTTCTTTCCATAGCTCATTCCAGTGTGACTCTGGATGTCAAAGGTTGATGGCAACAAATCAAACTGTACCTCATGCTGCCACCTGGAAACTGCTTGTCTGGTTGGTAAATATAGCGCTTGATATTAACTGTGTTTCCTTAAACTTGTTTACTGGAATTGTTATTTTACAATAGAGGTATATCTCCTTCCCAACCAATACTTACCATTGGTTTGGAATGAACAAACCTGGTTCTTCACTGCCCAGCTATCCAGCAGCACAGAGCACTGTTTAACAGCCAGCATTCTGGTTAGGCAGTATTTTGCACTGTCATAAATAAGCATGTAAGGCAGTACGGGACAATAAATAACAAAGCTTGTGTCTTAACTGTGGTATCCCACATTGGGTAAAGGGATGTCATTTCTCATCAGACTGCATCACTGAGGAAAGTGAAGGTCAAGGGAAACTGCAGTAACTCGACAGCTCTGTAGATGTCACCAGCCTTTCACTCCAGCCTTCCCCCACCGTTCTCTGGTTGGTACCTATCTCTCTCCAGCTGTTTTTTTAATCACCCCAGAGGAATTGCTATTTGAGTGATGAAGTAGTGTGTAGTACAAGTTAAGAGTTGCCAGCAATGAGCTGTGCCCAGACAGGAAATATGAAATGGAAAATGTAAACAGTAATGCATTATTTTTTCAATTACATCTTAAGCAAACATACTTACTTACCGGGAGTCAAAGAACAGTGTGAACGTCTTTTTGGATTTTGCCAGCTAAATCATTACGGCATTTCCTGAGCTTTGTTTAAAATGATTTATGGAGGTTATTAAAAATCCAAACCACATAATTTCTGCTCACATAACACCCACAGCAGGCATGCGCTGTTCTCTGCTGGAGCTGGGAACTTGTCTGCAAAGTGGCAGGGGCAGTTCCAAAAGGAAAAAAAAAAGTCAAAAACCAGGAAAGAAAGAAAGGAGAAAATGACCTCCTTAAATCCTTCCCTTGCAGAGGATGATTTAGTTGCTAACTTCACCTAGCGAATAGGAAGCTAAGTGTGTGAAGATAGGGCCAAGTGGAAGGGGAAAGGAGAATGTGGATTTCCTGATTGCTTGATGAGGTGAGATTTTTGGAGGGTAAACCTAGCCTCCCTAATTAACAGTTCTGTTTGGGTGTGCTACAGCAGCACCCCAGAGATTTTGAGTCCCATGCTTCACTTGGTGGTAGTGGGGTGCTACTGCCTCCTGTAACAAGACCCCTGCTTTCTGCTCTGAGCAAAACTGATCTCTGTTTACATCAGTGGGAAAAGCTTTAATTAATCTCTGTTACGTTCATGGGAAGAAGTAGATAGAGGGAGGTCAGGTTTGTACTACAGTATTTGGCTAGAGTACTTGCTAGCTGGAGCCCTGGCATGGTAGGGAGGCACCCCGATGTAGCAATCCTTTCAGAGAAACTCCTTTAGTTATCTTGTAACACGTATCTGCAAGGGGCTTTGCCAGCATAGCTAGAGCTTGGCCCGGACTCCTGGAGGCAAGCCCTGGCCAAACAGACTGTGCTCAGAAAACGTACACTCACCAGTCCCAGGGAACCATTTCAACATAGGCTTCATTCGATCCTTACCCGAGACTTCAGTGGGATTTTCTGTACTGCCCCAAGCAGTGGTGCTTTCCCAGCTTGACGTTTCAGTACGACACAGGGACCAGGATGGAGAGATCAGAAACAGGTCAAGTGAGGGACAGGTCTTGGCAGGATGGGCAGTAGGGCCTGGCTGATGGGATCCTCAGTGCAGAGGTTTGCCCACAAGCTCACACAGTCAGCTAGTCCACACTATAGTGCGTCTGGGGGGATACAGAACAGGATATTGCTTTTCCCTTGGATTTTGAGCAAGTTTCTCAGACTGGTGAGGAAAACTACTAAAAATTATGCATGTTTTCTTCAGGAGTTCCCTATTTTTACTGTCACAGCTTAAAATATATTCAAAACCTTTGTTAGTAAACAATCCTCAAAGTGCTGAAAATTAGCTCAGCTGCTAATAAGGCTGCAGGCATGCCACTGTTAATAAGTAATCAGTATCTTTCACCCCAGGCCTTTAACTTTTGGATGGAGGGCCGTACCCTAATTTGATAAACAAGGGTATATTTCAGAGAGACTCCACTGAGATCAGTGCTACTGCTATGAGCTTACGTTGGTGTAATACGAAATAGAATTTGGCCCTAAGAGAGAGACGATGAAAAATGAACATATACTATAATTCCCTGAGTGGTAGATTTTCTTATTTCTCTCCATTCATTCAGGATTTGAATCTTGGAGATTGAATTAATTTCAGATCTCGTACCACCTGACCCAAAACAAAAACCAAACAGCTGTGTTTGTTACTGCTTGGTAATATATTTTTCCAGGAAAATGCAGCTTAAGCTTAGTTCGACTGAAATAGCTGGCTGTTGTTTGTGCTTTACAAAGTGTACCACTAGACGAAGAGAAAGCAAGTATTTGCCTATTCCAGGGAACTTCACATCTAACTTTGGTGCAGTGCAATAGTGGGTCAAAATGTGTTTGAAATAATATTTTAAAATCCTGTTCAATTAAAAGGAAATGAGAAAATCAAAGAGCATTGTGAGGAAATGCTTAATTTGCCTAGATGCAGAACAAAACACACTCTAAGAAAAGAGGCAAACACCCAAGAGATCGCAAATGTCCAATCAGGATTAGTAAAGATGAGGACAGAAGAAGGATCTGTTTTCTACAGCACTGTTTAAAATAGGGACCAAAATAAGTTCAGTCACCATATTGATCATGCCATATTACTTAATCTGTGAAAGACACCTACTTAGATTTATATCTGATCTCAAAATTGGGGCAATCTCAGACACTTTGGGAACTAAAGCTGAGATTTTGAAAGGAGTCAACTTTACTTGAGCTTCAGTGGGGGCTGGGTCCTGGCTAGAGGGAAACTTTTTGGCCTGTTCCACTGCCGTCAGTCTTCTTGGAATTCCAGCTTTTCTTGGAAGCAGCAAGGAAATTGTCTTTCATGCTGATTTCTGAAGGTGGAAGGCAGCAGAGACTCCAAATAGTTTCAATGGCTTTACATAGAGGGTAAAATGGTGCAGTGATTCAAAATAGGGCTTCTTGATGAATGACCACAAGGAGCTATTTTTTTGTTTTCTCTTGCATACATTCCGGTTAGGGGTTTTGGGATTATCCTGGACCACTGAGTCTGCTTTCTGAGCAGGACAGTTCATTTTTAAGTGCAGTGATGTTTGGAGATGGAGATGCTCACATATGTGTGCAGGAAATTCACAAACACTTCATAACCATCTACATATTTAAATATCAAAAAAAAAAAGCTTTTCAGCTGCTTTATCTCAAGAAAAAGAGTTCTGCTGCACTCTTTATGCAACTTATTATTGAGCAGACAAAAAGATTGTTAGATACTTCTCTAATGTGTAGAGTATGTGATTGAAAAAGGAAGCATTTTTTCAATTAGTTACATCAATCTTGAATTATAACATAATTTTAATTGAAGTAACGGGAGAGCCACGTGAATATCCATATCATCCATATCATTAATCAAGATGAGATGCATTGCAATGAATACTGAATGAATAATGATGAAACACCAGGAATAAAATGTCACCATTTAGAGATATTTTATCATAGCTCTTCCACACATTAGTCCACCAAGAGTACCTGAACCAGTACAGAACTTCATGGCTGGTAGCATGTTCATTATACTGAAATGTACTGAAAGACTAGACATAATCCAGTCCTTTTGTCAACAGCTGGTTCATCTAGAACCTGTTACAAAACTCAGCAGAGGAAGTTTTCTCAGTCAGTTTTGCCACTCACCAATTACAGTAGCGAAGGCCCATCTTTGCTGGATGCTCTTGTACCAGAAATCACAGTTCATTAGAGGTAAATGTGTGTATCCAAGGGCAACATAGACAAACTTCATTAGTTGTTTGGAGAGAAATCTATGTCTGTTTGATGAGAAATCATTTTACATTAGCTCATAAGCTTTGCAGTCTGGAGACATTGTGTGCAAATGAATCTTTGTTGTGATTATCATTTATTTTAAACTTCCAAGATCAAACCTGACTGCAGAGAGAGAGGCAGGCTCTACCTGTATAATTTGTGCCTATCTCTTGCAAATTTGCTGGAACCTTAAGTGGGATCAAGCAGCAGTAATGCAACAGTAAAACCACAGTGTTGGGGTTTTCATATTTTGCCTGTAAATCAGGCTTGATCTTGGTTGTCCAAAATCACAATGCAGAGTAAAGGTATTCATTCAGAATGGGAAATTAATTCGCTTGTACTGTAACCAGTTTAGGGGCACTAATATGAATGTCAAACAACATGGTTATATCATCAAATCAGTTATGAAAAATGAGCTCTGAATCCTGGTTGCAAATATTTACACCAGAAGCTTAGTTCATGCCCCCCGCCTCCCCAAGAAACAATAATGTAGGGCTCAATTCTCCGCTCATTTTCTTTGATTGTTATAGATGGATAAAATTTAGAGCCAGACTGAATAGTGCATTATCTAGTCACAGGGCAGGGACTGCTGTCATTACAGTTTGCCTTGTGTGCCTGTGTGCCTAACACACAGCCTGCAGAAAGTAGCCATCCAGTTTGGGATCTGAAGACGCTGAGAATCTACTGCTTCCCCTGCTAGCCTGTTCCAATTGTTAGTCACTCACTCTTAAAAACATGTTACTTTCCCATCTGGCATCCAGATATGGGAATGTATGTTGGAATAGCTCTGTTGGATTTAGTGTGCTGCTCCTGAGGAGAGGAGAAGCAGGCCTGAGATCTGTTTGCTACTGATCCTGAATTGAAGAGTCTGTTAGTGGTACAGGTCTGAACGCTAGGTGCCAGCTATTCCAGTCAGCAAGCTGGGATGTTCATTCCTGTCTTATTACTTTCTTATGCTTGTTCCACTAAGTGAACGTTTGTTCACTGAGTCAGCTCTTACATGTCTCTTCTACCCACTCCTTTTTTCCTCTTCTCCCCCAGTGGAGAATCATTGCAAAGTGAAGTGATGCAGAGCCTGACATTTCCATGAACAGGGCAGGAATTCATTCTACCCATTCACAAGTTATTCCTACTCTCTGAAGCATACACTTACACACACGTGTGCACACAGAAAC